ATAGAAAAGTTTTTGGGTATGGAAAGTGGGTGTATGTTTTGAGGAGACATAGAGGAAATATAATGAACAGAATGATTTGTATAAAATTTATTTTTAATTTAGAAATATTTAATAAGAGATAAATGATAGAAGCCATTCAATTTCTATAGATTACTTCAGAGTTTCTAACTGTTGGCCTGAGGGCTACATGAGGCCAGAATTGCTATAAATACAACCCAACATAACACTACAAGCTCACTGAAATCATGCAATATTTTGTGATGTTTTGTGTAACTCTTGCTTTGTGATATTGTGTGACTCTTAAGCATGAACTTTGTAGATGACTTTTTCTAGTGTGCTGTAATGTGGACGTATGATGCTCTTGCTATTGGGACACACACCTGAGTGCATGTAACTCATGCACTCAGACTGATGGCATGTGAGGCTTCCGGTGGTTTATCTTCCATCTGCTGACAGTTGAACTGATACCATCAGATTTGCTTGTGCTCCTGGAGATTTAGTAAATGAAACACAGAGATTATCGATGATGTTTAGTCCTGCCTTTGCAGTTGATGAGTGTTTAATGGCAATTGGAGACCCAATAAGCATACTGTTTTGGATATTAGGAGCTTACACGCCTCTGCCGAGCCTCACACATACCACCCACCCACCATCTTTACAGTCACGTCTCTCTGCACTGCATCAGTAGATGAGACTTTGACATTCTCAAGCCTTGCTTTCCAATATTCTCTACTTTCATAATAAAAGTAAATATAACTTCTTATGTATAATTATTTTAATCACAGAATGGTGTTTATTCCATCATAGATAAAAAGGAATCTCAAAAAAGAGAGAAAGAGCTGATGGTGGTGGCTCATGCCTTTAATCTCAGCACTGAGAATCAGAGGCAGGGGTTATCAAGTTCAAGCCCTGCCTGGTCTACAGATCATGTTCTAGGACAGGCAGTGCTCTACAGAGATACCATTTCTCAAAAAGCTCTAAGAAATATACAAAGGATCTCATAGAATTAACAGTGGACCATGAAGTTACCACACCAAAATTATGCTAAATATAGGGCTTAGCAGAAGACATTAAGAAAACTTATGTAAAGAGAAGAGGGTCTCAGTGGAAATTGGTGGGGTATTAAAGGGGACAATCATGGGTAAGAATGGCCAAAATACATTGAATATGTGTGTGATGTTGTCAAAGGATAAAAACTAAGCTTAAAAAGGAAAATTAGTGCAAGAGCATTACATGTTGGTAGCATCATATAAATCATCACCAGCAATGAATTTTACAGTGGTTATAGGATTAAATAATTTTCTATTCCTAAACAGTGACCATAGTAACTCTGATGACATTATTTTCATTTCATAAGTAAGATGGCCAAGCTGAGGACACTAGAGTAACATTATCAAGTTAGCTATCATAACATAAACTGTGAAACAAAACTGTCTGCCAGAAAGGACAATGGAATCAAGTTTACCAATTCAACCTTTTAGTGTAATTAACTGGCTATTTTATCTTTAAGAAGAAAACCAACTGTCAGTGTCAGGCCGTGGAAGGATATCTTGATTCTTGGCTGGGTATGGGCTTTTGAACCCCGATTCTCATGGAGAAATGTCAGGTGTTCAGCCATGCCCCCAGAATCCAGGCTCCTACAGGTGGTCTACATCTCCATTAACCTGCACCTTGCAGACACATTTGACTAAGCAGCTCCTCCCAGAGAGGTTTGTGTCACCATCCCCCTACAGGTAGAGGGTATGACTACTGGCTTTAGCCTCAAGAGATATCCATATTCAGGAGTTACCTAAAGGCCAGGAGGCATAGCTAAATTAAGTTATTTCTTTTCCCAGCCCCTCCTCTTCCCCCTCCCCTATTTAAGCCAGCTCTCCCCTGGCTTAACTGGGAGGTGCAGACCATCTATCAGATGTCATGAACAATAAAACTCTTGGAAGCCACGGATTTCTTGTATCACTGGGGCCTGCCATCACCAAAGCTTCCAGCCCTTGGAACTCTGGACTTTCTTGAGTTATTGGGATCCACCAGTGAGGAAAGCGTCCCTGTGTCCCTGCCAGCTCCGGTTTTCCAACATGTCAGTACCATGTTTCAAACTGTGAGTGTTCCAGTGAAGGAGACATCATGGGGATCTCAAATTAAGGCAAATAATTGCATTTCAACCCAGCTGGATGCAGTTTTGTGAACAGTGACATAGCCTTGATTTGACATTTCACATGTGAATTTGGAAACAGATTCCAAGACCTCCAGAAATACTGTTATTATTTTGGTACAATCAAAGTCCACTTCTCTTCAGCATATATAAGGTACCTCCTGATTTTCAAATTCATAGAAAGGAGTGCACAGAACTGGAATCTTATGTTTAAAAATCATTTTTGCTCATGTCCCTTCAGAATCTTTTCAGGGCTTTTAGGGTCCTTCTGAGAGACAAATGATCACACTTTACAATGACACTGTATTCACACTACCACTTTTTCACAGTGCCTACATTTATGAGCAACTACTTTCAAGAACTGAGCACACCAACTGCAGACATATCTCAGAAGTCTCAACAGTACACACTGCTCTTGCCAAGCACCAAGTTCAATTCTGATCATACCCGTTGAATAGCTCATCACTGCTGTCAACTTCAGTTCCTCTGGCCTCCAAGGGCACCTGTAGTCACGTGCGCACATCCAAACACAGACACATAATCAAGAGTTAAATGTCTTTCAGCTATATGTCCTCTAGATTTGACAAGTAACCTACACCCAAGAAATCTCAATATTATGACTATTTATATAAGACTAGAACAATGACAATACCAGCTGACCTTGCAAAGTGGATAGAGAAGTAGCAAGGGGCTCCACCACTAGATGAAGAGTAACATGCAGTTATAAACTTCTGAGAGAGGGAGAATCAGTCTTCCCCAAAGGTGAGCACCATAGTGGTTATCCAATCACAAGTGGTAAGACCTGAAAGAAATATGCATTCAAGCAATATTAAACTGAATGTATATTATATTTTTATTATTTTTATGTGTATGAGAGAAAATGATAATTAAAGAGTAAGGATCCATGAATCTGAAGCAGATGGTGAGGCATGGAAGGATTTAGTGGAATAATGGGGGATGATAAAATTATATTTTAATGTTCATTTCAATTCAAAGCGTTAAGTACACTATCAATAAGATTAGAACCAAAACATCTCAGCAGCCCCTTAGGAATTCACTTAGGTCAGAGTTGTGTCCCTCAAGCCAGGATCTGAAACTTCCATTTCTGAAAAACCACGTTGCATATCCTTCCAGGTTCATGTTGTTCTCCTTGACTTTGAAGAGAAAGCAGACTAGATAAATTTTATTATTTATATTTGTTAAATTTATGCATTAGATCTCACAAACATAGACCATGTTCCATGGTTTTAACAGGTTTTTTTTCCCTTGGTAACCCATATAAAGTCTTTTATATTCTGCAGGCTTTTGTAGCTCATCTGTGTGTGCACATACTGTGTCATTTATACACAGCCTATTTTCAGGGGGAATGATCAACATTCATTATAGCTTGTGTAAGTAATGTGTATCCCAAAACAGTTATCCTTTTAATGTAATATAGAAAAGACAAAAGGTTACAGACCCATGGACTAGAGGGTTAATTTTGATCTAACTAATCAGGACTTTAGTTTACAACTAACACAAGAAAGCCTCCCTTGGTTGCAAAATATGAGAAAAGAAAATTCAAAAGTATCTGAATTCCATGAAGCAGTGATGGGAAAGCAGGATCAGGGTAGCTCTGTGGTTTTCTGGATGTATACACACACACACACACACACACACACACACACACACACACACACACA